ATCCATCCCACACTCACTCACAACACCCGGATTGGAACAACGCACCCCTCGCTAATAACCAAGTAAAAATTAGTTAATTATYAGATAATCGTGGGTTTCCTTCTCGTTTTATTATTTTTAATTATTTTTCTTATTTCTTAGTTCCATTATCGAAAATAAAAAAAATAAAGCAGTCTTGTCAAAAATAAATTCCGATGGAATTCAGTTAAATAACGAAAATTCTTTGTTTTCTTTTTCTTTTATCGCCTTTGATCCCTCTTTCTTATTTTTAACTCCATTGTAAGAAAGTCCAATAATTGAGGGCGGTCCCATTAAAAATCAAACATCAAAGATTTGAATAAATTAATGCATATTCCGTTTTTCTCTTTTTCTTGTTTTGTTTTTAATTCACGTTTTTTTTTTAATAATTTTGATACCAAAATTGATGATATCCGAGGCCCCACTTCTGCGTCAGTTGTGGAGCGTAAAAGAACCACGCCGAAGCCCATCTCCATCTTGCTGTTCAGCAAGCGACCGTCCCGGAAACAAGCTAAAGGCGCCGGTATTGAGATAGACGCCGCCGCGGTAAGGTAGTCCTTCTTATCAATTTCGAGAGCTAGTCTCAACAGTCGTCATATCTAATCTTAGGGGTACTCGGGGTGCCCCTAATTTTTGCTGCATGGTCAAATCAGAGTACCGTCATTGCACGGACTTGTCTTTGAGCCTATGTCCCTAACCGTAGATTTCAGGCGGCGCACTGCTTGTGGCCGCCTGACAGCGTCACAGTTCCGCTGCGTTTAGGTTGTGGGCTTCGAAGGCTACTATCCTCCGTCTCCTGGTTTTCGCCTGCGTCGAGTGCTGTTGGTGGTGTCCGCGGAAACCGGCGGATGTGGACCCACGGGGGAGAGGGGTTGTGTTCCTTTTGCGCCCCCGTGCACAAGTGGAGGCTTTCCGTCCGTCCGGGCGTGTTGGAAGCGTGGTGCATTCATTTCTCTCTTCACCCTCGTTTCTCGATGGACAGATGAGGCTGTGCACTTCGCTGTCGGTACGTTTTGGGCAGGCGGTGGCATCCGGCTGTGGGCCGAAGCTGTCGGTGGTTCCTTCGCGAGCACCGTTGTTCGGGTAGCGTGGTTAACTTACCATCTCTGGGTGTGGTGTGGGGGGGTGTTGTTCGCAGCCAATCTCTTGGRCGGGTGCGGCGGGCTGTGTTGGATTGTGCGGTACCCTGCAATTGGAGATAGCCTACGGAGGGAAGTTCACCTGCAATTCAAACAGCCAGACTTCGCGGCATCTCGGCAGCTCATTGCACGTTCCACGATTGTTCGACGTTCTTTTGGTAGGCTGTCGGGCGTGACTTGCCTACGTGCGCCTCGACTAGTGCTCCTTGCGTCACACCCACTACCTGGTTGATCCTGCCAGTAGTCATATGCTTGTCTCAAAGACTAAGCCATGCACGTCTGAGTGTGAACACTTTGCACTGTGAAACTGCGAAGGGCTCATTAAATCAGTTATCATTTATTTGGTGGTCTCCTTACCACTCRGATAACCGTGGTAATTCTAGAGTTTATACGTGCAGCATATCCGGACTTCTGGAAGGGATGTATTTATTGGACAAAAGGCCGATCCTCGCTTTCCCGTTGTTGCGGCGAATCATGGTGACTTGTCGAATCGCATGGCCTTTGAGCCGGCGATGTTCCATTCAAATTTCTGCCCTATCAACTTTCGATGGTAGGATAGAGGYCTACCATGGTGGTAACGGGTGACGGAGAATTAGGGTTCGATCCTGGAGAGGGAGCCTGAGAGATGGCTACCACATCCAAGGAAGGCAGCAGGCGCGTAAATTACCCAATCCTGACATAGGCAGGTAGGACAATAAATAACAATACTGGGCTCTTTCGAGTCCGATAATTGGAATGACAACAGTTGTAAACTCCTTGAACAAGGATCCATTGGAGGGCAAGTCTGGTGCCATCAGCCGCGGTAATTCCAGCTCCAATAGTGTATATTTAAGTTGTTGCAGTTAAAATGTTTGTAGTTGGATTTTGGGTGGGAGGGGTTGGTCCACTCTTGCGGGCGTGTACCCGCCCTTTCGCCTTTCTTGCCGGGTATGCGTTCCTTGCCTTTATTGGCTGGGATCCAGAGCCGGCGCTGTTACTTTGAAAAAATTAGAGTGTTCAAAGCAGGCCTGTGCTCTGAACATATTAGCATGGAATAAAGCAATAGGACTCTGGACCTATTTCGTTGGTCTTCCGGATTGGACTAATGATTAATCGAGACGGTTGGGGGCATTCGTATTCCATTGTCAGAGGTGAAATTCTTGGATTTATGGATGACGAACTTCTGCGAAAGCATTTGCCAAGGACGTTCTCATTAATCAAGAACGAAAGTTGGGGGATCGAGGACGATCAGATACCGTCCTAGTCTCAACCATAAACGATGCCGACTAGGGATTGGCGGATGTCTATTGGATGACTCTGCCAGCACCTTGTGAGAAATCAAAGTTTACGGSTTCCGGGGGGAGTATGGTCGCAAGGCTGAAACTTAAAGGAATTGACGGAAGGGCACCACCAGGCGTGGAGCCTGCGGCTTAATTTGACTCAACAC